CAGTGGGCAAAAATGAAATGATGCAATGTTTCTGCCTACTTGGGTAATGGGAACTTTCGCAAAAAGGCGCAGTGGTTTTGCTGCCCATTATTAATTCTTGAAGACGACAGCAGTTTAGGAATTAAGTTAAGCATGTATTCCCTCATTCCGGGGTGGGTCGGTGTGGGTGTGGATGCGGATCGATATCCTCTTTTCTTCCACACCAAGCTACACACACCATAGCCACAGCCACAGTCACACACCCACACCCACACTCCACACCCCACACCCACGCTCACACCCACCCACACCCACATCCACACCCACATCCAGCTACACCCACCCACACCCACGCACACCCACACCCACACACGCCAACATTTAACGACCATTCATCCACACACACCAACATTTAACGCCCATTCACCCACACCACAACCATAGAGCCACCCACCTTCAAGAAGAACTCGTTTTCGATCATTATCATATGATGTTAATGAACATTTAGAAGAACTTTATAAGACTCTTTTCGAACAGCCCCTATAATAAAGAATCTAAATATCTATAATATACATGGTCCTATTTCATTGAGATTCTCAATGAAATGATATTCCACCTGTATCAGACATGTGAGAACGATGAACAAAACTGAAAGTTTCATTTTGTTTCTTCAATTTAACGTTTGAATTTCTTCTTAAAATATTATGTCGTAGGTAACAATGAGTAATCTAAAAATATCTTATTTCTCAACGTGGAAATCATCAACGAAGAAAATGATAATGTCTCGAAGAAAGAGAAGAATTGATTGATTGTTTTTTTAAATAACAATCGAACATATTACAAGATTATCATGAAATTCTATGACATGATCAAACTAAATGAACTTTTATCATACTTCACTATGTGTAATTTTATCTGAAAAGTGGAAATGTCATGAGAAGGGGATATTTTATTCACATGGTTAACATTTTTGATCGTTCTTAAGCAGATCAACAGTATATATTCAATGAGTACGATGAAAAAAGGCGGAAGTGAAGAATGACAAATTAACATATTTAACATAACATGCTTTGACGATTATTATTTAACAATTCATATAAAAATGCCTATACGACAATACTAGAGTGACAGATAAATAATATTTTATAAATCGAACAAGAAAAGATGTCAATAGTAACAGTGCAAGGTACGACGATTTCTATCACATATTTAGATTACAGTTCGATTAGCTGTGGTTTAACGGTGTATATGTGAGTATTAAGTAAATGAAATGATTCAAACAGCAATATTGCATAAGATTTGATGATATCATTCTGTGGGAGGAAGAAAATGACAAGATGGGTTATTTTAAATCTATAAAACGACTTTTACATGCATTTTATCGAATAATAATATTGATTCTTGCGATGAGTTACGTATATTTTATATTTACTTATGCAGGCTCATTCTTCGATCAATCTGAGCATCGAATGTTTGTTTTTATTTATTACAACGAAAAAATATATATATATTTTCTTTTTCTTCGTCAAGGTATAGAATAAAGGTGGGTGTGGGTGTGGAAGTGTATCTTCTCTCACACTATATCTACATCTGCATGAGTTCAGCCGGTGAAACTCGTCGAGTTCAAGAGTTTGTGGATCCGAATTCGGAAGTGATCGATAAATTTTCTGTGGGTACGGATACGAAGCGTATTCTTAGCACTCTTGACAAAATCTTCTAATCTGAAGGTGCGTATGGGTTGGTGTAGGGAGGGGGAAGAATATAGGTGTGGATGTGGTATTGCTCTTGTCTGTACACATCTACACCCATCCTTTCTTCATTTAAATTAGAACTCAAACTAAGCAGCTGCTCATTTGTATTCATCAGAAGTATTTCCAACATTGTAAGTTTAGTACGTGTTGCAGAGAGCTCCAGAGGGTCTCATTTTGTAGATAATTTCATTCTGTACAAAGCTGATATAAATTCAATTTTTTAATCTTGGTTTTTGATAGAGCACAAATAAGGGTGTGGGTGTGGGTGTGGGTGTGGGTGTGGGTGTGGGTGGGTGTGGGTGTTGGTGGTTGTAGGTCTCTTAGAAATAACGGCCACACCCACACCCACACCCACACCCTCACACCCACACCCACACCCACACCCACCCACCATCGGTATCGGTATAATATTTAAAATCGATGATATCTTTCAATATTCTGTCTTGCAAAAATGTCGTATAAAAATCACTGTATCGGATGAAGCATTAGAACATGTACAGAAATATACCGAATTCATCCGAAAGGAGTTAGAAGAAACAAACTCAACTAGACTATTTGGGAAATTACTTGTTGAATTGGGTCAGTATCTCAAAGCTGAATCACATTTTAAACTTGTTCTCAAGATACTATCAAAAAATCATCTTGATATTGCTAAATCCTGCATTAGTCTTGGATGTGATTATAGGGAAAGTGGTAATTATAGAACAGCGGTGGAACTGCTTAAAGAAGCTTTAATGATTAGAGAACACAACTATTCAGGCAGAGATCATTATAATATTGCCACTACTCTGATGTCGATTGGTGTTACATACACTTATTTAGGTGATTATGAGAATGCTCTCAATTTTTTAATACAAGCACTAGATATGTATCAGCGTCTTTTGCCATCTGATCATCCTGTAATTGCTAGTGCATTAGTCAAGTTTGGTAATTTGTTTGAAAAAAAATATCAATACCACGATGCGCTTATCTACTACCAACATGCTTATGACATGGCTGAAAAAATATTACCAATAGAGCATCCTCGTTTATTAGAATATTTTCAATATATTATAAATATATATAAGAAAATAAATCGTATTGACGATGCCATACAATTGTCTAACGAAAAACTTGCTCATTATCGTCAGTTACTTGAAGAAACTCATTCGAGTATTGTCCAATTTCATATAATAATTAAATATTTACATGATAGTAACGAACAATACTTATCGAATTGCTAACAAACATTATATTTTTCCACAAAAATATAATCAACTTGAAAAACAAGTACTTCCAAAATGATAACTGATGCTTTTAGTAGTTCGAGCTTGTTGAGCTGATTTTATGAAAGTTAACAACCCTTCAAATTATTTCATTTGAAGAGAGATGGCTCGTAAGCGCTATTTTTTTCCTTCTCACGAGTGCTTAAAATTTAAGCTTATAACAAAAAATCTACCTAAACTAAATCAGGGTTGCGACCTAGTCAAGCCTGAAAAGTGAAAAGTTCGTCTAACAATGCAGAAAATAGCGGAAGTAACAAACAAAAAGAAAAGTGGAAACTCATATTGGGATATGGGTGTTGGTGTGAGTAGAGTATCTCCTAAGAGAAGAAGTACACACACATACTTTTTTCTTCGCCTTTTCAAACTCATCTGTTGTAGCTTTCAGGTTGTTATTTTCGCCTGATTGTACATCAGTTTTGTTGTTATTATATTTTCATGATTATTTTCATCTTCATTTATTTACTATCTAACAAACATAATAATATTAAGCTCTAATTTTTAGACATTCATCTAGTTTAAGCAGATTTCTGTTACGTGCTTAAATTCTAAGTATTTATGAAAATAAAAAGTTAACGTTTACAAACTATCTCTTTCTAATTGAAATAATTTGAAGAGTTATTAACATTCATGAAATCAACTAAAAGAGCTCTAATTACTAGAGGCATCAGTTATTATTTTGGAGATTCTCGTATCTTTTACAGATGTTCTATAAATAAGACTTTCCTTGTTGTGCTAAGAAATCAAGATTATTTCATCCAATACTGCTAATATACGTACAATATCGGTGTGAGTGTAGATATAGATAAAAAGCAAGCCTCACATCTATTCACATCCACACTCTAATACAACGTATTAGATGATGAAAAACTAAAATCGAAAACCGAACTTTGTTTGTCCATGGAAGAGTACCACAAAAATGAGACGTTTTTGTATATGTCAAACAAGTCGGACACAATAAGCCGGTAAAATGGATTACATATGAACATGAATAGTTTAACGTATGCTCTGTTCATGGATATGTAAATGAAGATATAATAATAAAGGCTAGAGGAAAACGAACTAATGGAAAAATGAACTTTTTATTGTCTTGTAGAGACTGATGATCAGGGTTGACTGACACATGCATTCCTACAAAGGTTCAATCTGCAGCTACACAAGGACTTGAAGATTCAAGATGTTGGATACTTTTGTTCAGTGCTGTATATTATGAGTAAATAGCATCGTGAAGTTCAGCTTCAAAATTGTTACGAGATCTATGGTAGAAAAGTAAGACGCATGGAACTATGAATCCTTCATTGGAATATTTCATAATTGAATGCTCGCTTGGCTTTTTTAGTTTCAGAGTACGATAACAATCGTAGTCGGATGTACACTTGATATAATCTAGAAGTTTCATTCCTTTGATGAATTACCATAAATGACGCATCGTTTCCATCTTCTGCATTACATTGTAAAAATATAAACATGATCTCAAGTTCTTCTTAGTACCTGACTATGTATTAGTATTTCTATATCATATATCTGCATATGAGACTGCAACATTACCCACTTAAGTTCTCTTACCTTACTCTCATGGTCCAAAAATTGCGTTAGAAGTAACACTATAACAATCAAAGTGTGTATTATTTTAATCAAATGGATTAATATTTGTGGTAACAGATGTATGTTCAAAGTTATGTTAATCAAAGAAACATAAGCGAATACTCTTTACATCCAGGCCCACATCTACACAACCGCACGTATTTCAGTTTTTCATTGTTTAAAATGCTTCAGTATCGAATGGTTCTGATTGTCTCAATAATACTCATTTTACGCATGTTCTACTCGAATTATTAAATTCTATATAAAGAAATAAACGATCTTCTTATTTGGTTTTTATTTCAAATTTATTGTCAATGTAAAATTTACAGAAATTTCAATCCAAAAAAATAATCATCATCAATTACATATCAATGCTTCAAAACTCATCCATTTATGTATTTTGTTTGTTTTTGCTGTTTATCTATCAATCAATATTTTCTTTTACTATATGTGTATTCATCAACCGATCCCATAATGTTAAAAAACTTCCATAATTCATCTTAGCATGTTCATGATGATAATCATGTTGTAGTGTACCAGACATTAACCATGGAAAATAATATTGTATACCCATATATGGTATATTATAACCAGAATGACCATTTATTGTTTGATATGTACGAATCCATACCCACAAGCATAATGTAAATAAATGTTTTTCTTTTAATAATATTGGCCCTAATAAAACACCAAGTTGATTTTGCAATAAAGTCTCCCATGGATCACCTAAAGCAAATACAACACCTGTTGGTTGTTTATAAAAATGATGTTTTTTATGTATATGTTTATATAACCAACGTGTATGAAATAAATAATGTGTCCAAAAAAATAGAAAATCATCAATTAATACAAATAATATAATTTGCCATATATTTGTAAATAAAGTTGGTATTGCTGAACGAACAGAAACATGACCAATTAGATTTAATAAAGGATATAGTAACGGTATAAAAATAAACAGTCCTAATTGATGCTCAATAACACCTTTTTTCATTTGATAGACAACATCAGGTTGAAATCGAAGTTTTGGTTTGTGTTTTTGTATGCGATATTTATCAAATAAAGGTATATCATTATATTCAATATATAAAAGAAATAAATTATAAGACCAAAATACTGTTTGAAATGTAATATACGCAAAAATAGAAAATGTTAACCATTCAGATGAATAAAAATATTTATCACAAACACGAGTAAAAAATGGTTGTTCATCAAATATTAATGTTTGATTCATGGATAAAGTTTTTTCTTTTTGTTTTTTTTCTTTTTCGTACTTTATTATATACATTCGTTTGAGGTCGACATGTGATAGAAAAATATTTGCTTTCTTATCGTTCTGTTTGCCTTCTTATTGCGACGTTGGAAGAGGTCGTATGACTTTGAAGCGTGCAATCAAAGACTGATAAATATACATAATCGATTTACTTTAATTCGTTAAAATTTTTTCTTTGAACGTGGAGTATCATTGAAAGCTTCATTATTGAATTATATTTTGTATTGATATTTCATCCAGTACAACTTTTACAAGACGGGTGAACCTAATACAAGTGAAAAGTTTTTGGATGGCTTCTAGTTTTAACATACATACAGAACCAATAAATGTAGCAAAATTCAAACATTATTTCTGGTTTTGATATTTAACGAGAAAATAACCTAAATTTTATGAATGATTAAAATAACATTATAAAAATTAAATTTACGTATCTGCATGCCTAGCGAACAATCAACTGTTTCGTTCTATGATCGAGTAGAATGATATTAAAGCATTTTTTAAGATTTTTCTCTCAAAGACATTGATAAACATGATCATGATCAAAAAAATACTATGTTAACAATGAACGAAAAATTTTTTAACATAAAAATACAGCCGTGTGTAAAAAGAAGAACAAGTTTGACAATAAAAATTTATTTAATGCCGTCAAAATATTTCACATACGCCACCGGAGTATCTTATAAGCTACTTATTGCAATATCTGAATCTTCTGGAAATCATGAAAAAAAGTATCAAAAAAAATTGTGAAGAAACTATTGAAAAAAGCTGCAGACGGTATAAAGAAACAGAGTCAATAGCGCCCACTTTGCATCACTAAAAATATTATTGTTGTTGAATTAGAGTCATAAATTTTTCCGTTCAACAAAGATTATGAAAATTCAATTACTCACATTTGACGTATTAATATTTCTAGTAAAAAATTTACAAATATTAACGAATATAGCCACTTTCTCAATCAAATCAAAGATGAGAATTCTTTAGGAATGTTTCCAGTTTTCCCAGAAAACAGATTGTATTTATTGCTGAAAATTTATCTCATCTTAATTCAATTTATCCTTTTTTCTTACAATAGATGAAAAAATCAATTATGAACTTGTAAATATCAAAAACTAAAGAATATTTGTACTCCAATGAATCACTTTGTCAATTGTTAAAACATGATATAAAACATTATGATAATATTTAAACATAAATATTTTTTCTAAAAATGATTGGAACATTATAATCAAACTAAAACAAATCTTGTTGAATTTCTCTCTTATGAACAATATGATGATAATCAAAAGAGTTTGAAATTACCGATAAATTTAACAAAACTTATTTTCCTTCATTACTCATCTGATATATATATATAACGCAAGAGATTTCTTGTTGGAGACCTTCTTCAACAAATTGAACAAATACACGGAAAGACGATTCATTAAGGCATATTAGCAAAACCCATACTGTCTAGTGGAAATTCTTGACTGAACTTTTTTTATTCTATAATGAAAGAACACAAGTAGAAATCAATTTTCCTACATAAAAATCAATCAAGTTTTGAGAGTGTGGGTGTAGGGTACATGCCAGTGTGGTGAAAGAAACGGCCACAACAACACCCACGCCCATACCCTAGGTTGTCAGCTTCAACTTTCCAATTTGGCCTCGGAGACACATCGAATTTACAAACTAAAACTATTGTTGAAGAACTTTTTCACAAATCGTTACAATTCATATGAAACTACACACTTTTTTGGCGAAAGAAAAACCGTCCTCGTGCTTTTATGAGAGGAATTTAAAAGTCAAGAACGACCATGAAGAAAACTGTGTGGACATTCTGATCTTATTCACGGGTGCAGACCACAACAGTCTACAGATACTAACAAGTACTACTATGGAAAGCAAACAAAATGCTCAGAACTGTCTTTGAAATCATATTTTTGTGTTGTAACTATTTTTTTTTTGTATTTCCGCAGTACACACACACCCCATCGCTCGTTTTAGGATACTGGTGACGTGATTGAAATAAATGAATTTCAGTACTTTATATGAGTTCCATGACATTGTTACCAAGACAATGAAATCAACAACAGAAGGTAGATATTTGAAGGTGAACTTAAAAAACAACATTAACAAGAGAATGATTAACAGAACTCGACCTTCTCGATGAAAGGTATCCACGAATCAGTTTTTTTCATTCTCTCTACCTTATTTTTCTTAAAAGAAGACACTGTCCATTGTCTACGGCTCATATTTTCATGTTGAATAGTCGAAAAAATTTGTCATACATGAATTAATTTGATTTGATACAGCGCTATAAAAACAAAAAACCAACTGTTGTGCAGGATGAAAAACAGTGTTCAACAAATGTCGATGCAAATCAGTTTAATTATTCGTCAAATCAGCACCAAACACTGTGTTCCCGTTTTCATATCCGGACACTCATTACTTAATAGCTTTCCACTCGAACCAGATTGAAATGAACACGGCCATTTTCTTGTTTATGTTTTCATGAAATTACAGCGATCTTCGTATTATATGAACCGTCGGAACAGATCATGCACAAGCTGCTTACTGTGCAGACTTTCTTTTTGATTCTGTCACAAGAAACGCATGTACAAAAGTCTTGTTTTTACAACAGTGACACGGATTTTAACCCATGAATAATTAAAACCATTCATTATTTCGGTTGGAAAGAATAATTTTTGCGATATTCTAGTGTGAGTCCTACATTTTATCCCCATCGGGGCTAAGCTGACAAGATTTTTCTAGCATTCAATCTTAGAGCTTGATTAGACCAATTATGGTAGCATTTATTCGTTCTTCCATTGATACTTCTTTGCGTGACATACGACTCGAATAACTATTTTGAAGTTTTTTAAGTTAATTAGAATCGATTGATTCCTTTTTTTTTCTTTTTCTAATGCATCCGAATTTATACTCAGTTTAACTTCTTACTATTCATTTTCATTGTGAGTGTAGAATTTTATTTGGTAAACGAGATATTTGATGTTGACTATTTACAAATGTTCTAAGTTTATCAGAAAGTGTTATTAGTTTTAACATAGAATTTCGTTTATTCTTACAGAGGCTAAATAGCTTGAATCATTGATTATTAATCGAATGTAGACTACTATTTCGTCAAGAGTCAATCGATGCTGATCCGATGACTTTGATTTGTGGAGATGCATCAATTGACATCTATTCATATTTCTCAATGATTTCTTTCACAGGCATAGATTTATACAATGATAATGATGATGTGTTAAAATTTGTTGTTGTATGTTTATGCGAACAATGCCTCGATGAAGATCGAAGCCTGTAATAAACAATATTCAATGAAAACGAGAGAAAAACATTTATATATAAAAAGATGATTATAACGAAAAGATTTGTGAAAATATTCGATGTTGTCATTAAAACTTATTTGAATGCAATCGTTATATTGATACAAATCCTATCTTCGCATCTTTCGATAATAGTACAATGTTTTCTAGAAACAAATTTGTCAGAAACTTTCTCTTGCTTAACAAATGATAATATAGATTTAGTATAAGATATTGATCGAATAAGATTATTTGAAATTTGTTTCCGATTCATTTTCTCATTCGGCATCTTGCTTGATTTTCAGTATTATTTATTTTTATATTAATATCTTTTTGTACTTCTGTCGGAGAAAGAAAATTATGATTTTATTTTGATAAAAGTTCTTTTCATGAACATTGTTTGAATAAGCTGCTCAATTGATGATATCAATTTTTTTCAAAACTTTTTCACGTTTAATATGAACTTCATATGAATGATACCAATCAGAAAATCTTACTATTTCAACGTTTTGAAAATTTCATATATTCAATTAATAAAATGAGACTATTTAGACATTGCAATGATATTTTTTGTGAAAAATTAGCAAGACTAACGACATTAATAACTACTCTGAGAGTTTTGAACGTTGATGATGTTGCTCAATATTAACCGTAAGGTATAAAATTAATAGTGCAACGAATAACATATGATCATTCGATTCAAAAAATGTTCTGGTCGCTATAAATGATCGTTTTCAAACCATTTGAATACTGATGAACATTATTCAACTTGTCAGTATCATGATTATCAACGTTTCATCTTTCTTATAATAAGTTGTTGCATTTATTGTCAATTTCATTTTGTAAAAGAAGTAGAACATTAATAATTATGATGTTTATAATTCCACGAATTTGGAATGTATGTATTCAATGTTACATCAATGTTATACTGAGTATTCATGCCAGATGTTCGATCTTCCTTTGATATGTCTTATCATTGTTTTCTCTGTCCTTCTTATTATGATGTCTTACCACATGTTGCGATAACATAGTGCGCACTACATACAGTGACATCATTGATATACAATTTATGGGTAAAAGATAATAGATAGAGTAGAGGAAAGGCAAGAGCTGACTCTAATATGATGATGTGGATATATAGTATTCTGATCATTATGGTTGGTTATGAAGGTTATCTAAGGATTTTATTCAATGTTTTAGTTTCACTCATGTACTTATTTTTGTTTACTGTTTGCACAACATATATTAATATGTATTCATGCTTTATTTGATAGTAATTATGTACCTGCGTTCTTGATAAATTACTCATTGGTGTGGTCTATAGTTGTAATGCATAAAGAAAAAAATTGTAGACGTATAGATTCAGATATTATGTATCTTTATAGCTGATGTATCTTGACTCTACTTTTTCTCGTTCTATTATTGGGTCACTCTAACTCTCTTTTTCTTATATAAATGAGTATTTTGTTTCATAAGGGATTGATTTCTAATATACAGAAAGGAAATAGACGGCAATCATATCCGAATCAGCTAATTAGTATAATTTTTTAGGTCTATTTATAACATAAAGTAGAAAATGAAAAATAAAAGTACTTCTTCAGAATTGTAGAATGTAATGTTTCTTTAATTTAGAACTTTCCTGAAACTTCTTAACGA